ATATTTCATTTATTTATTTTTTGTTATTACATATATTGATTTGTGTAAGTAGCCATTCTTATATCTAAGGGATAAACCACACTTGGTCATGATTTATGATCTTTAAATGTGCTATTGAATTTATTTCACTAGTATTTTATTAAGGATTTTAAAATCTATGTTCATCAGGGGTATTGATCTATAATTTTCTTTTATTCTCTTCTTGTCTTACTTTAGTGTCTGAGTAATGCTGATCTCTCATAAAATGAGACTGAAGTTTTCTTTCTTTTTGAACTTTGTAAAATTTGAAGAGTATTGGTGGTAATTCTTTCTTAAATATTTGGTAGAACTCGCCAGTGAAAACATTAGGCCCTGGATTTTTCTTCGTTGAAGTTCTTTGAGTGGCACACACCTGTAATCCCAGAAGCTCAGGAGGCTGAGACAGGAGAATCTTAGCCCAAAGCCAGCCTCAGCAACTTAGCAAGGCCCGTAAGAAACTCAGTGAGACCCTGTCTCTAACAAAAATATAAAAAGGGCTAGGGATGTGGCTCAGTGGTTAAGTGCCCCTGGGTTCAATCCCTGATATATAAAAAGAAGAGTTATTTGATTGATTTAGTTTCTTTATTTGTTATTGGTCTGTTTTGATTTTCTATTTCTTCATTATTCATTCTTGAAAGGTAGCATGTTTTAGGAGTTTATCCATTTCTTCATGTTGATCCAATTTGTTGTTGTATAGTTGTTTATAGTAGTGTGATCCTTTGTATTTCTGTGATATCCATTGTAATATCTCCTCTTTCATTTATAATTTATCTATTTGGGTCTTCTTTTTTTTCCTTAATCTTACTAAAGGTTTGTCAATTTTATTTTTTCAAAAAAATTACTTCTTAGTTTCATAGATATTTTCTATTGTTTTCCTAGTCTCTATATCCTTTATTTCCACTCTTCTTTTTAATATTTTCTTTTTTTTATTTGTTTGTTTTTCTTTGCCAACATTCATTTTAGTTTGTTCCCTTTCTAGCTCCTTGAGGTGTAAAGTTAGGTGCTTTATGTGAGATCTTACTTTGTCTAACTGTAAACACTTATTTCTTTAAACTTCTCTGAGAACTGCTTTTGCTGTTCATATAAAGTTTTGTATGTTGTGTTTTCCTTTTCGTTTGTCTCAATTTTTGTTTTATCTTGTTGGTTGTTCTTTGAGCTATTGGTTCAAAATGTATTATTTAATATCCATATATTTGTGAAATTTTCAGTTTTCTTCTTGTTATTGATTTCTAGTTTCATACCAATATGGTCCAAAAAGATACTTGATGGGATTTCAAATTTCTCCATTTTGGTAAGACTTGTTTTGTGGCCTAACATAAGACCTGTTCTGCATAATGTTCTGTGTGCACTTAAAATGAATATGTACTATGCTGCTGTTAGATGGATGGAATGTTCTTTGTATGTCTGTTAAATCCATTTGGTCTGTAGTGTTGTTCAAACCCACTGTTTCCTTATTGATTTTCTGTCAGGATGATATATTCATAGTTGATAGTGGGGTATTGAAGTCCCCTAATATTCTCTGTTGCTGTTTATTTCTCCTTTCAGTTCAGTTAATATTCACTTCATATATTTAGTTGCTCTAATGTTGGGTACACATATGTTGTTTATTTTTCTTTCTTCCTATGGCAAAGCTGCAACTGAGAAACATTCTTCTTTCAATGAGATATTTTCATTAAAGCAATATATCTCTTTAAAATTGCTTCTATACTTTTCAACCTGATAATTCATCTTAAAGAAAAACAGGAATACCATAAATTATCTTCATTAGCACTGTGGCCTAAATTTAAGTGTTTTAAGTCAAACTTGATAAAATAATATTTTGTTGAGAAAGGAATGAGGTGGGACTACTAAATAAGTCCTGACATTTATTGAGTTCTTAGATATGTATGCAACATTGTGCTGTATGTTTTCAAGCATTATCTGATATAAATCCTCAGAATAACCCTATGAGGTGGGTATTGTCATTATCCTGCTTTTATAGATGAGAAAACTTAAACCACAGGTTATGTAATCTATCCAAGTTTAGCCATGTTGTAGCAGGGAAAATCTAGGATTCTAAGTCTTTCAAACATCAAAGAATATTTATTCTACTATATCACCTATAAGAAATGAAGTTCTGTGTTCCTTCTAAGGAATTGTTATAGTTGCTTACTTTTGTAAATTAAACTATGTTTACTTTGTGACATATGTATATATCTGTTTTCTGTGTATATGTCCACAGGATAGCATCCCATAAACATATTTTCATTTTGATTATTAATATTAAAAATTTTCATACCTTGCTAAATTTGGTGAAATTATGTCTTTGAAATAATAAACATTATGTACCATTGCATGTCTCAACACTTGACTTATAATTCATTCAGAAAATACCTAAGTATCTAATTCATACCAAGCTCTCTCTGTAGGGCTAGGTATGTACTGATTAATAAGATATTATTATGTTCAAGAGACTACCAGTTATTGTACTGTTCCATAGAAAGTTCCCTGTTTAAGAATTCTACTTTCTAAGCAGACTTTTAAAAATGTAAATACTTTACAGAGATTATTACTTACTGTGACTCTTAATTTTATGAAGCAATTTGACTAGACTAGGGGATGCCCAGATAGCTGGTAACATGTTATTTCTATGTGTGTCTGTAAGGGTGTTTCTAGAAGAAATTAGTATTTGAATCTGTAGATTCAGCAAAGAAGTTCACCCTTGCTAATACAAATGGTCACCATCCAATGTGTAATAGGCCCAGAGAACACAAACTGATGGAGTATAGGTAAATTCACTATCTCTACTTGAGTTTGAATATCCGTCTTCCCCTGCCCTCAACACCCCTTGTTCTTGGACCTTTGGACTTGGATTGGGACTTATACTATTGGTCCCCTTGGTTGTCAGGCCTTCGGGCTTGGACTAAAGTATACCACCAGCTTTCCTGGACCTCCACTTTGCAGATGGCAGATTATGGGACTTCTCAGCTGTTGTAATTGTGTGAGCCAATCCCTCAAAATAAATCACTCATATCCTATTTGTTCTTGTGTTAGACTTCACATGTTCACAACTAGCGGGGAATTTTTCTTAGTATCATACCTTTAGTCTTACCCCCTATCTAATTAAGATGATATTTAGAGACATTGGACTTTAGACTTTTACATTGATGCTAGAATGAGTTCCCACCCACATCCTGCATGGGCAGTGGAAATGGGGTTCCCTTTGGTGGAATGGGCTGACTGAAAAATAAAAGCTAAGAGAAATAAAACAGCAGAAAAACTGCAGAACACAGAAAGTAGTTTCAAAACTGGGGGCAGGATGGCCAAGCTGATTAGACAGTTCAAGCTTCTGGCAAAATGGCACTCCTGCCTGCTTTATTTACATCTAGAGACATCAAAGACCTTCTATAGAATGTTCTCCAAAAAGGGTCAAAGTGGGCTGTTCAGTTCCTAACAGTTACACCCATCTCCTCATAGTAGTCCCTCATAGTAGCTTTCTATGTGTGTCTGTAAGGGTGTTTCTAGAAGAGAAACTATGAGAAACTATTTTTCTAGAAAGCTACTATGAGGAACCTTCCTAGCAGAGTGGAGGAAAAGGTCATGTGCATTAGGCAATCTATTGCCAAGGGAGAGCCATGGAATGTTCCCAATGCCAGGCCTGTCTCTTCCTGGCTACCATGATGAGAGAAGATCCTCATGTATTTCATGAATGGCTTTTCGCAATGAGTTAAGACTTTGGGGACTGTTGGGATGTAATTAATGTATTTTGGTATAAGAAGGACTTGAATTGGGGTAGGGGTATGCCGGGAGCAGATTGCTGTAGACTGAATATTTATGCCCCCCTCCCCAAATTCATCTGTTGAAATCCTAATCCTTATTGTTTAGTTATTTAGAAGTGAGGCTTATGGGGTTGTGGCTCAGTGGCAGAGTGCTTTCCTAGCATGTGTGAGGCACTGGGTTCGATTCTCAGCACCACATATAAATAAATAAAATAAAGGTCCATTGACAACTAAAACATATTTAAACAACAACAAAAAAAAAGAAGTGAGGCTTTTGAGAGATTATTATGATATGAGGGCAGAAACCTCATGAATGGGATTAATATCATAAAAGAGTTCAGAAAATTCCCTTTTCCCTTCCGACATGTGAGGACACAGAGAAGATGAATGTCTATGAACCAGAAAGTGGGCTCACTATTCATTAAGTTCTGCTAGTACCTTGATCTTGGACTTTCCACCCTCCAGAACCTTGAGAAATAAATTTCTGTTGTTTTAAAGCCATCAGTCTATGGTGCTCTGTTATAGCAGCCCAAACAGACTGATACTTATTATTTGAATTATACTTCACATATTTTTATTTATCAGTTTTATAGTTATACATAATAATTGGATTCATCTCAACAACTCAAACATGCGTGGAATTTGATTTCAGTTCACGACCCCCACTTTTCCTTCTTCTTTTTCCCTATTATCTTTCTTTCCTTCTCCCCTTCTCCTTCCTCTACTCCCCTAGACTTCATTAGCTCATCTATTTACTTATATTTGATTGATTCTTTTTATGTATGCGTAAAGGTGAAATTCCCTGTGGTATATTTATATATGCACATAACACGATTTTTAAAGTTTTTTTTAAGAATTCATTCCACATTGCCTCCCCTAACCCAGCCCTCCACTCTGCCTCTTGATCTCCTTCTTCTACACTACTGATCTTCCATTTATGTTATCCTATCTTTCCTTCCTTCCCCCTTTTCTTTATTTTACTCTGGCTTCTACATATGAGAGAAAACATTCAACCTTTGAGTTTCTGAGTCTGGCTTATTTCACTTAGCCTGATATTCTTTATTTTCATCCATTTGCTGGCAAGTTTCATAATTTCATTCTCTTATTATGGCTGAGTAAAACCCATTTTGTGTGTGTGTGTGTGTGTAAATAATAGGTTTTATATATATACCACAATTTCTTAGTCCATCCATCTATTGATGGACACCTGGGTTGATTCCATAATTCAGCTATTGGCATCACCTACTTTTGTACATAATATGATGGTTTTCATTAAAAGTAACAAATAACTCACTGCTTCATATATCCAATTGGTAAAAAAACAAGAGCTAAGTAATGAATGGGATTGAAGAATAATAGCAGAAAACAAAGACTAAAGTAAATTACTACAATTTTGATCAGAAGTTGCAGAGAATCAGATGTGACTGCGCTACTATTACTGTCCTTGATGGAGTCTGCCTGCAAACGGGATATTCTGTCAAGGTATAGATAGGTAACAGCGGACATGCTTGAAAACGAGGTGTCTGCTGTCCTTGGGAGGGCCTTCTCGCAAAGGAGAGGCTCCTTCAAGGTTTAGATAAGGTAACAGCGGACATGCTTGAAAACGAGGTGTCTGCTGCCCTTGGGAGGACTTGCCTGCAAACGGGATGTTCTGCCAAGTGGGCTAGGAGGGCGCTGAGAAAAATTTTATTATCTGTTCTTAACAAAGAGCAGAGCTCAACATACTCCTGACCGAGAGTAGATTAGCCATGAGAAGGGGGTCACTTCTGATTAGAAAGTAAAACTTCTGTGTGCTATGTTTAATTAGCTGAAAGACCTGATTTATTGATGTTGGAAGGCTGCCTTCTTTGTTCACAATACTATAAAAAGATTGCTGTACACAATAAAGGACTTTTTTTTCTGCTGCTGCTTTGCTTGCTCTTCTTCTTCTTTCTTTTCTCATGCTGACCTGCAAGTGAATTACTGCAACATTTGGCGTAGTCGGCAGGATCCAGCACCGAAAGGGTAAGCACCCCGGGTTAAGAAAACGAAAGGGGGACTTTCGGAACTAACAAAATATTGAAAGAGTATCGCCCCGGGTTGAAAGAAACTTTAGGGGGACTTTCAGAACTAACAAAATATCAAAAGGTATCGCTCCAGGTTGAAAGAGACTTTAGGGGGACTTTCAGAACTAACATGGGAAACTCCCAGTCCTTAAAGGAACAATATGTGGAGTTACTACAAGGATTATTGTATTCCATAGGTGTGAAAACATCTCATAAGAGACTCAAGGAGTTATTTAAAATTATAGACTGTCATTGTCACTAGTTCCAGTATCAAACTAAGGTCCAGTTAAATTTAGGGGAATGGAAATTGGTTCAGAAAGAGCTCCGTAAGCAGCATCAGGCTGGAAATGTTATTTCTTTGAAGATTTGGACATTGTGTAGCGCTACTACTCAGGCATTACAATTATTAGAAAGCAATAATGAAAAGGGCTCTCTTTGTGAAAGCCAAGTTAATACATCGGAATCTGATAATAAGGTTAACAAAATGGAGCCCAAGGAAGATATTTGTGATACTATAGATGACTCTCCTAAATCAGATCTGGGTGATGAAGAAGATTCAGAAAGTTCAGATAGTGACTCCAGTATGAAAGAAATTATGGAGGCCTTTGTGGAAAAAATGAAATTAAAAAAGCAAAGGTCCTCTCTTAAACCTACTACTCCTTCTAATGCTTCTCTCTTTCCAATGACAAGGTATAGAGTTGATGTGGGTAGAGAACGTTTTTCATTTCCTCTTACTATGATACATGATGATGATGATGATCTTGCAGCTCCCACTGGTGGTTTTGTTGATCCACCACATTTGTTTCCTATAACTAGACAACAAAACCTTCAAAATCCCCCAGTGATTGATGTTCACTATACTGCAGTGGAATACAAGTTTATTAAGGATTTAAAAGCTGCAGTCTCTCAATATGGCCCTCAGTCTCCTTTTGTGTTAGGTATGTTAGAAAATTTGGGAACTTCTAAACTACTCATTCCTTTGGATTGGGAGGCATTAGCCAAAACAGTTTTGGAGGGATCTCAGTGGTTACAATTGAGAAGTTGGTGGGAAGATGAGGCACGAAAACAAGCTCGAGAGAATGAGGCTCAAAATCCACCGGGACCTATGGAGGATAAGTTAATGGGGGAGGGTAATTATCGTGCCTTTAGAGAGCAGGCTCAATATACAGATCCAGATCTTCAACAAGTTCGACAGGTTTTCTTAAGAGCTTGGAGATGTGTGATACCCACTGGTCAAGCGCAACCTTCCTTTGCTAAAACTGTACAAGGGGCTACTGAACCTTATACTGATTTTCTTGCTAGACTGCATACTGCTGTAATGAGGGCAGTAGGTCAAAATCAAATAGCAAAGGTATTATTGGAAACATTAGCATTTGAAAATGCAAATCCTGAATGTAAGCGTATTTTGGGGCCATTAAAAGGGCAAAACACCTCATTAAGTGAATATGTGAGAGCTTGTGCTGGAGTGGGAGGAATTGAACATCAAGCTTCTGTTTTTGCTGCAGCCATGGCTGGAGCCCTTAAACCCAATAAATCAGGAACTTGTTTCAATTGTGGAAAAGCAGGTCATTTTAAAAAGGATTGTAAGAAAAAGGTAACAATAGTAACAATAGTATATCTCCCAGTGCAGAAAGGACATCTACTGAAGTTTGCCCACTATGTAAACGAGGCAAACATTGGACAAATGAATGTCATTCTAAGACAGATAAAGATGGAAACCCTTTGCCCCTGTAGGGAAACTACTCAATGGGCCGTCATCCCTGGGGCCCATAAACAATACTGGGGATCATTTCTCATTTGTTTCAGGCATCTGTGACTCCCAAGTTGGGCCACCCACCAAACAACCCCAGGATAGTACTAAGTTAACTATTGATAATCTTTATGCGGCTACTCAACAAAGTGCTGCTGCTGATTTACCAATTAATGAAAATGTCTTGATATCTCCTGGAGGTAGAATTTATAAAATAAAGACTGGTGTTTTTGGACCTCTTCTCTCTAAGAGTTTTGGATTAATTGTTGGACGTAGTAGTTCTGCCTTAAGAGGCATTCATGTTATTCCTGGCATTGTTGATCCTGATTTTACAGATGAAATTTTCATCATGGCATATTCTACTCAAACCCTTTCTTTGATCAGTGGAGAACAAATAGCGCAGATTTTGCTGTTACCTTTTTTTCAATTTCCTTCTAAAAATCAATCAAGGACTGGAGGATTTAATAATACAGAAAAAAATATATTTTGGGAAACCTTAATTACTGATCAGAGACCCTCTTTAACTCTAATTATTCAAGGAAAATATTTTGAAGGGTTAATAGATACTGGAGCTGATGTCTCAGTTATCTCTATAAGACAATGGCCACAAGAATGGCCTAAACAAAAATGTCAAATAACATTAAATGGATTAGGGGCAATAACAGATGTGTGGGTCAGTTCTGGCCCTTTATCATGTCATACCTTAGAAAATATTGGATTTTTAACAGCCTTTTACATAATCAATGTTCCAATTAATATTTGGGGCCGTGATATTTTATCTCAGCTTGGAGCACACATTAATATTCCTTCAAAAAACTTGTAGCCACTGTTCAGTCCCCTCAAGCTATGCCATTAACCTGGTTAACCAGTACTTCTAAATGGATTGAGCAGTGGCCTTTAAAAAAAGAAAAGCTGGAGGCATTAAAACAATTAGTTACTGAACAATTACAGGCGGGACATATTGAATATTCCACATCACCTTGGAATTCCCCTGTATTTGTTGTTAAGAAAAAGTCTGGAAAATGGCATTTATTGACAGATTTAAGGGAAATTAATAAATGTATTAAACCTATGGGAGGATTACAATTAGGACTTCCCTCTCCTGCTATGATTCCAAATAAATGGTCAATTTCTGTTATTGATTTAAAAGATTATTTTTTTTACAATCCCTCTCCAACCTAAGGATAAGGAAAAATTTGCTTTTACAGTACCTGAATATAATAATCATCAACCTGCTAAACGTTATCAATGGACTGTGTTACCTCAAGGCATGATTAATAGTCCTACCTTATGTCAGGAATTTGTTGCCAGAGCCTTAGAACCAGCTCGACAACAATTCCATCATTATATTTTATATCATTATATGGATGATCTTTTATTAGCAGCCCCTACTAACATTGAACGTGACCGTTTTTATAAAGCAGTTCTAAAAGCTTTATCTAAATTTGGATTACAAATAGCTCCAGAGAAAGTGCAAATTGATTTTCCTTATTCATATTTAGGATTTGTTTTGGATAAACAAAAAATTAAGCCTCAAAAGGTTCAAATAAGAAAAGATAATTTAAAGACTCCTAATGATTTTCAAAAATTACTGGGAGATATCAATTGGATTCGTTCAACCATAGGAATCCCTACTTATCAATTACAACATTTATTTGCTACTTTAGAAGGTAATTCTGAACTACATAGTCCTAGAACTTTAACTAAACAAGCATTACAAGAGTTAACTTTAGTTGAACAACGTTTAAATGAAGGATATTTGTCTTATATAGACTTAGAAAAATCTGTACAACTAATTCTTTTCCATACTCCTCACTCCCAGTCTGGAGTACTAACTCAAAATGATCATATAATAGAATGGATTTTTTTACCTAATAAGTATAATAAACGATTAACTACATATATGGATAAACTAGCCTTTTTAATAATTAAAGGTAGATCTAGATTGTTACAATTGAGTGGTAGAGAGCCAAATCAAATTATTACTCAAATAACTCAACAACAAATTACTTACAATTTACAATTAAATGATAATTGGCAAATTGCTCTAGCTGGTTATTCTGGAGCTTTACTCAATATCCTAAATCTAAAGTCTTTGAATTTTTTAGAAAACATTCTATGATATTAGTAAACCCTATTTCTTCGATTCCTCTTTCCGGTATTACTGTTTTTACTGATGCTAACAAAACTTCAGCAGGATATTTGACTCCTATAGCTTCTAAAGTATAACCTCATGAGTTTTCCTCTGTTCAACCTGCTGAATTATGGGCTATTACCTTAGCTTTATTAGATTTTTCAAATGTTCCTCTTAATATTGTTTCTGACTCTCAGTATGCAGTTTTGGTGTGCACACATTTACCTTCAGTTAGCCTTCCTATTAATCCAAAAACTGTTATTAAAAAACTATTTGCTTTTACACAAAGATTATTGTTACAGAGAACTATTTCAGTATATTTTACTCATATCAGAGCACATTCTACACTGCCAGGACCATTACCTAGAGGAAATCAAAATATTGATCAGCTATTATTCCCCTTACAAAAGGCTCATCTAGAACATGCTTTACATCATACAAACACTAAATGTCTTTACAAAAAACACAAAATAACTCAAAAACAAGCACGTGAAATTGTAGCTAACTGTTCATCATGTGCTCCTTTTAATATTCCTTACTGTCCTCCTGGTGTTAATCCACGGGGACTCCATCCTAATGCCCTTTGGCAAATGGATGTTGTTATAATTCAGTCATTTAGAAGACTAAGTTATGTACATCATACTATTGACACTCATACTCATTTTCAATGGGCCACAGCATTATCTTCAGAAAAAGCTGGTGCAGTCATTTCTCATTTATTATCTTATTTTGCTATCATGGGAATTCCTAGAGAACTTAAAACTGACAATGCACCTGCATATAGCTCACAAAAATTACATTCGTTTTTACAAAAATATGACATTACACATACATTTGGCATACCTTATAATAGTCAGGTTCAAGCTATTATAGAAAGGGCAAACCGTATGTTAAGAGAATATATATACTAAAAATAAAAAGGGGGGATATGGCTATGGCTTATACACCTCAAAATATACTTCATAAAACTTTACTAACTTTAAATTTTTTAAATGTCTGGTCAGCTTCCGAGGTTCCTGCAGCTCAGCAACATTTCTCTACATTTAAATCTCAACCATTATTTCTAAAATCGGAAATACCTATATGGTACAGGGATGAAAATAAAGAATGGATTTCTGGGTTGTTGCACCACATGGGAAGGGGGTTTGCTCTTATTTCTACAGGTAAAACACCTTTCTGTGTACCTTCAAGACTTATCAAATTGCAGAATGAACGACCCATTTGTCAGACAATTTCAGGAGCTGGCAATGCAGAGAACTTCTATGATGGCAACGAGAACAGCAGACCCCCCAACATGGGGACAGATGAAAAAGTTGACTCAAGAAGCTGAAAAAACCCTTCAAAAGGCAAATCAGCCTTTAAATCCTGTTAATCTTTTTTTTAGCTATGCTTGCAGTTATTAATTGCCAGGTAAGTATAGTTTCTGCTCATTCTTTTGCTTATTGGGCCTATGTTCCTAATCCTCCTTTGGTGCTCAGTGTTTCCTGGGGAGAACCTGAAGTTCGTGTGTGTTCTAATAATACCAATTTTCCCCCCTCCTGTATGTGGGGGAATTGAAGATATTCCATTCCATAAAAATCTGTATAATATTTCAAATATAACTGTAGCTGTTGAAGGAGTCCCATTGTGTATAGGGGCTCATTCTTTCTGTTTGCCTCTTATAGCACATAATGACTCTCATTTCTATAATACTTGGGGAGTTAATTATCGTAGTTATTCTACTGTTGTTTTTACTGTCATGATATCTTCCCGAGGATTTACTACCTCTAGTATGTATGTTAATCAATCATGGCTATCATCTGAAGAATGCTTTGTCAGAACTCATCTTCCTTTATGTGCAGCTAAATATTTTGAAACTTTTTAACTCATTTAGAGTGGGAAAAATGTTGTGATCATCACCCTAAAACAGTAGTCAAATATCAAAATATCACTATAGTTGATTGGAGTCCTGATCATTCTGAATTTATAGAAAGTTGGTCAAATCATACTTTAAGATGGCATCGACATAATGGGACAATAAATGCTTGGGGTAATGAGACAATTAAAATGCAACATTATGCTTTGGTCCCTCCAATGTTACAGCATATAAAGTTTTCCAATATTCAAGGGGATATATGGAAATTATGGGCAGTATCTGGGAAACTCACTGTATGGACTGGAAATTTCACGTTAGATGTATCCCATTCCTCTCCTTTTGAAGTACATCTACATAATAATCTGACTTATTTTGCTTCTGCATGTGTTAAATTCCCTTATTCTCTTATGATTGGAAACTGGGAATGGAATGAAACTTGGGGAACAATATCATGTGTAGACTGTTATCTTACTCAATGTGTAAATAGAACTAATTGGGAATTAATAGAAATTAATAATTATTCTTTAGTTATTGTTAAAGCTCGCACAGAATTGTGGGTGCCTGTTAATTTGACTCGTCCTTGGTCTGATTCATTGTCTGTTACTCATTTGTACAATGCTGTTCAAGTTTTGTTACATCGCTCTCGACGATTAATAGGAATAGTTATAGCTTCAATCCTTGCAGTTGCTTCTGTAACTGCCACTGCTGCAGTAGCTGGCGTTGCTTTACATCAAGGCATTCAAACTGCGGATTTCGTGAGAACATGGCATCAAGATGCTCATTTATTATGGCAACAACAAAAGGACTTAGACTCTCAATTGGCTACAGATGTGATCAATTTACAACATACTGTTTCCTGGCTTGGCGATCAAGTGACTATCTTGGCTACCAGAAGTGTTCTGAAGTGTGACTGGAATTCTTCTCATATTTGTGTGACTCCTGTTCCATAGAATACCAGTGATTCCTGGGAAACTGTTAAAAGACGGTTAAATGGACATCAAAATTTAACTTCAGAAATTATGAATTTGGAAAAAACTATTATGGACACCTTTAGTAAGACATTACCTGAACTAACAGGATCTGACATTTTACAAAAATTGTCTTCAAGTATTGCTAATTTAAATCCTTTAAGACATTTCTCTACCTTGTTGTCAGCTTCTTTAGGTAACACTGTAATAATTTTTGTTTTGTATTTTGTTTTGTATATAGTCTTCCAACGCTGGAAAAAGTGAAGGCAACTGAAACATGAAACCTCTCTTTTCGCTTCTGCTATGGCTCATTTATAAAAACAAAAGGAGGGAGATGTAGAGAATCAGATGTGACTGCATTACTATTACTGTGGAGTTTGCCTGCAAACGGGATATTCTGTCAAGGTATAGATAGGTAACAGCGGACATGCTTGAAAACGAGGTGTCTGCTGCCCTTGGGAGGACTTGCCTGCAAACGGGATGTTCTGCCAAGTGGGCTAGGAGGGCGCTGAGAAAAATTTTATTATCTGTTCTTAACAAAGAGCAGAGCTCAACATACTCCTGGCCGAGAGTAGATTAGCCATGAGAAGGGGGTCACTTCTGATTAGAAAGTAAAACTTCTGTGTGCTATGTTTAATTAGCTGAAAGACCTGATTTATTGATGTTGGAAGGCTGCCTTCTTTGTTCACAATACTATAAAAAGATTGCTTGTGTACAATAAAGGACTTTTTTTCTGCTGCTGCTTTGCTTGCTCTTCTTCTTCTTTCTTTTCTCATGCTGACCTGCAAGTGAATTACTGCAACAGAAGTTATCCCTGAGCCTCCTTGCAGAGAAGGTACACATATTATGAGCCAAGATGGTTGATGAGTCTAGGTTGTAAGGTAATTCGATGTTGCACTTAGCCGGGTGTATCCTGCAATCTCAACTGCTTGGGAGGCTGAGGCAGGAAGATCACGAGTTCAAAGCCAGCCTCAGTAATTTAGTGAGGCCTTAAGCAATTTAGTGAGACACTGTCTCAAAATAAAAAGGGCTGGGAATGTGGCTCAGTGGTTAAGCCTTGCTGGGCTCAATTTCTGGTATCAAAAACACAAACAAACAAAAAAACCCACACTGTTGAGCCTTGAGTACAATAACTTCTTACACTGTGCAGAGAGCACAGGTTTTGAGTAGATTGGAGTCTTTAAAGCCTAATTTCCTTACTATCTATCAAATTTTGTGCTAACTTTACTTGCTGTATGTATGACTAATATCACACAGGATTGAGTAGATGAATTGGAAATTGTGTAAATTGCCTAGCTTACCACCTCATGCAAAGTAGGTTTTTCTCCATTTGGATATATTAAACATATGTGACCAGAGATAATTGTTGTGAAAATTAAGTCCTATTTCAGATAGAAACCTTACATTGTCCAGTCACAGGACTACTTGAATATAGGTATCCAAATTTCTTTATGAACATTGTTATCTGTTTAAAAGTCCAACTGTTGCTCAGTAGAAATTCCAGATTTTCCTTATAATGCAAAAGAGATGACTTTAAGCCAGAAGGCACTAATTATGTGCCTTAAAAAATAGCTTTAAGGGCAGGGGTGAAGTGCTCACTTGCCTAGCACGTCCAGGGCCCTGGGTTCGATCCTCAGCACCATATAAAAATAAATAAAATTATTGTGTCCATCTACAACCAAAAAATAAATTTAAAAAATAGCTTTAACATAGTTCCTATGGAACACTTGATGGTTTAGTGGGAATGTTAACCTGGTGGGAAGTAATTTTTTTTTGTGTGTGTGTGGCACTGGGGAGTGTACCCAGGGGCACTATACCACTGATCACACCCTCAGCCCTTTTTTATATTTTATTTGGATACAGGATCTTGCTAAATTGTTGAGGCTGGCCTCAAACTTATGATCCTTCTGCCTCACTCTCCCCAATAGCTGGGATTACTTGTGGGTGCCACCATGCCAGCACCAAAAGAATTTATACCCTTCAAATTCACCCCCCATTCTCTCAGTTGATGAATTTGCCTTATGCTTCTTTGAGGAATCATTAATTGGGAATTTTTTAATCTTCCCACTCAAAAACTATGCTTACATGAATTGGATTGTTCAACACTAATTTAATGGAAGATGTACTTATCAAAAGCCTAAATAACCTCTAAGTATTTCTCTCTTTTAAAAATTATTGTTCCTAAATCTTTGATTTCTCCCTCTCTACCTAGATTGACACCTTCAACATTCAAAAAGCTTATGCTAGTACTTCCCCTTGAAAGAACCATAAATTCCTGCACGGCACCAAGAAATTTGCTCATTTTTCTCCTTGCCCTCAGATCCAAATCTCTTAAAAGAGTACTCCGTTACCATCTGTTTTAGTCAGATTTTTTGTTGCTGTGACTAAAAGACCTGACAAACACAATTTTAGAGGAGGAAAATTTTATTTGGGGGCTCACGGTTTCAGAAGTCACATTCCACAGACAGCCAGCTCCATTCCTTGGGGCTTGAAATGAGGCAGAACAGCATGGCGGAAGAGTGTGGCAGAGGGAAACGGGTCACCTGGTGATCAGGAAGCAGAGAGAGACTAAGCTCAGCTCACCAATATATACCCCAGAGGCATTCCCCCAATGGCATACCTCTTCTAGCCACACCTAATCTGCCTTCAGTTACCACTCAATCCCTACCAGAGAATTAATTCACTGATTGGGTAAAGGCTCTCATAATCTAAATCATTTTACCTCTGAATGTTCTTATGTTGTCTCACACATAAAAAGCTTTCGGGGGACACCACACATCCAAACCATAATACCACTCATTCTTTTTTTTTTTTCCTAAGACATAGTCTTGTTATGTTTCTGTGGCTGGCTGCAGTCTTATGATACTTTTGCCTCAACCTTCCAAGTTTGTGGGACTACAGATGTGTGCCACCATGCCTGACTCCCCCTCCCCCACCCCCCCTTTTTTTTTGCTATTTATTTTGATATCATGGATTGAACCCAGGGATGCCTAACCAATGAGGCACATCCCTGGCTCTTTTATTTTTGAGACTGAGACAGGGTCTCAACTAAATCTTTAGGGCCTCATTAAGTTGCTGAGGCCAGCTTTGAATTTGTGATCTTCTTGCCTCAGCCTCCCGGGTCACTGGGATTACAGGTGTGTGCCACCATACCCATCATCCCTTTCACTCATAAAAACACTCTATTTTAGTTTCCTACATTATTGCTTTACTTATCAAAACCACCATGACCTCCATATTGCCAGATAACCATTTGTTAGTTTTCAACACTTTTGATCTCTCAGCAGCTTTCATTATAGTTAACCCCTCACTGTTTGAAACATTCTTCTCTCGTTTTTTTTTTTTTTTTTTTTGAGATACAATGGTCTTCTAGTTTGTCTCCTGCCACAGTTCGGCTGCAGCAAAATAACAGGGCAGTGGGGGGGTGGCGAGCAACTTAACTTGTGTAGATTGATACAGCAGGAGTGGGAGCCGTTTATTGTAGAACAGGAGGGGTATATATACATTCCACACAGCTTATCTTAATTAACATAAACTAGATACAGCAGTCAACCAATAAGGAATCTCCACACTTAATGGCTCGCTGGCGTTACTTCACAAACCACTCCCTCTGCAAAATGCCAGGCGCCATCTTGACTTGTTTACAGACTCTAACAGTCTCCTTATCCCCCTGGCTACTCCTACTCTTCTTCTAAATGAGTACTTCTCAAACATTAGTGCACATTAAAATTACTGTACAACTTGTTAAAATGCAGATTTGTAGGCCTACATTTTCAGATGTTCTAATGTAATAGCTCTGGATGAAGCCTAGCAATCTGTATATTTAATCAGTACTCCAAAAGATTATGGTTTGTGCCGGCCATGGTGATACACACCTATAATCCCAGTGGGAGGCTGAGATAGGAGTCATGCAAGTTTGAGGCCAGCATAGGCAACTTAGTGAGACCCTGTCTCAAAATAAAAAATAAAAAGGGCTGGGGACGTAACTCAGTGGTAGAGAGCACATCTGGGTGGTACTGGGGGATGAAAAAAGATTGTGCTGTAGCTGCTTATGAATTTCACTTTTGAGTAACTTTCATCTTTAAGCTTCATTCCTGTGCATCTCCTCTATCTATACCTTTTCCTTTTGTAGTCCCATCCATTGCTATCTATGTCAATGTTTCTCAACCCTGACTACATATAGAATCATCTAGGGAGCTTTGGAAAAATGTTAATGCCCATTTCAGACCAATTAAATCACAAACACTAGGGATTGAAGAAGAACTTTAGTATTTTTTAAAAGCCTCTCAGACTATTCCCATTTTCAGTCAGGGGTGAGAACCACTGAACTATATCCTTATAACTTTTATCTTCAGCTCAACCTTTTCTTCATAGTTTTAAATCTCTGTATCCAATTTCCTACTTGTTATCTCCTTGCAGTATCTCAGACATCTCAAACCTAAAATAACTGGTAAAGAACTATTGATTCTGTACCCTGTCCTTGAACACATTTAGACCCATAGAAGTAAATGGCCCATGACAGGAAACAGAGGGTCATCTTTGTTTCTAACCTAATTTTCCATATCTAGTCATTAGTAAGACTTGTCAGTTTTATTTCTAGAATTTATCTGAATTTATATCTCATTTTCTACATCTCCATCATTATGAGGGCTACAAAGCCTCCTTACTGGCCTCCCTTCCACATCTGTTTCTCCAATTCATACTCCAAATGGAAAATTCAAGTGGTATATTGAAGACAAATTATCATGTCATCCCCTTGCTTAGAACATCTCACTTTTAATAAATGCTGACTTACTTTTTCAATGTCAACTTTACTCTCTTTCTTCTCTCAATTAACCATGCTCTAACCATGTGGGCCTCATTTCTTTTCAGTAGCCTCATCAATGTATCACAACTTTTGTACAATGCCTGAAATGCAAATCTCCCATGGATAGCTTTTTTATCATTTGGCTGTAAAGTGTCCTCTAGAATTCTCCTCTAGTATTCTGTAACACAGCAGACAGTTTATATTGTTATGTTTTTAGCAAGTAACACGGTGCCTAGTACCTAGTTAAAGCTCAATAGAAATTTGAGCTATGAGTAAGTACATTTAATTAATATTCCCAGATCTCAAAAAGAAATGATTCCCAAAACCTCTTCTCCCTGCTTGGCAAATACAAATCATCATTCATGCAGAGGGTTTCTCAGGGCACCCTTTGCCAACACCCTTCTCCCCACCTCCTTACCCCCTGCCATAATACAAACTAATGTGAGCTCCCTTTAACACATTCTTGTGCACTGGTTTTATTTTATTTATTTATATTTATTTTTTATTTGTTCTTTTTAGTTATACTTGACAGTAGAATGTATTTCAACAAATTATACATACATGAAGTCCTGCACTGGTTTTAAAATGACTTACCTACAGTCAGGCATGGTAGTACATGTCTATAATCCCAGCAGCTTGGGAGGGGCTGATGCAGGAGGATCTCAAGTTCAAACCCAGCCTCAGCAAAATTGAGAAACTAAGCAACTCAGTGAGACTCTGTCTCTATAAAATATAAAATAAGGCTGGCAATGTGGTTCAGTGGTTGACTGCCTCTGAGTTCAATCCCTGGTACCCACCCCTCAACAAATAAATAAATAAATAAAATTACTTACCTAGTATGAATTTATTCAATCACTGAATGGTATATAAAAAGTCTAGAACTATGTCAAATTTCTTAGAAATGCTAGCCATGAAATCATTCCTGCCTATTCCA